GTCAGCTTTCCTGCTCCTCTGATGCTGCTTGGCCTGCTGTGTTCATCCAGCTCTGCACCTTGTTATCTCAGGTGATAAATCCAGCCTTTTTTGACTCTGACTAGAATGTGACACTGATAGTAATCTGATTCTCCAGCATCTGCAGTTCCTACTATCTCTGGATTTATCACCTGTTGTAAACTTAATGAGACAGTGAGAGATTTGAAATGTCTAGCTGTTCATGACGTCACTTCTGAATTCCCACTCCCAGGTCTACTGAGAAATATTCTTGTACTTCACGTAGCTGAGTTACATGCAATGTTACCGGCACTGATATTTCTTAACTTTTAAAGCATTTTTGAAGACTTTCATCAGCGCTGAGGCTGCACTTCACACAGTTGAGTTACACACTGTCCTGCTGCAATTGATAAGTTTTAATTTGAAGGTAGTTTTGAGGACTTTCTATCAGTACTGATCCAGCTGAACATACATTACTGCTTCAGCAGAAACTCACACTGAGTTCAAACTTGGTGAAAGATGACATGTCAATGACACAAACAGCCTCTTTGCAGCACGTGACTTCTGCTCCCACAATGTCAAACCAGTCTGGTTTGTAGAAGGTCTTACTGTGGTCCAATTCCAACAAATCTAGGAAGAGAAAAGGGAGAGGTTCAGAGGCTGAAATTTCAGATTAATGCAAACAGAGAAGTTTCACAAAACAAGACCACAGACCAACGTGGGGCAGACAACACGAAAACGGACATCAGAGGCATGCTGGTCAGACTTGTGAAGGGTCGGAAGTGGCGTCGTTGGGAGTCAATGCTTGTTCCCATTTTTGTTCTCTGTATACATACAGGAGTTACACTTGGGTGTAGACAGCATCACCTTGATGTTCCCTAACAAGATACAAATAGCATGTTTGGCAAACAACCAGGATGACAGTAAGGCTTTGAGAGAGGGACAGTTTTGGTCATTGGGCAGTCAGGAGACAAGTGCAATTTAATGCGGATTCAGGTGAAGTAAAGCATTTTGAGGAAAAACACAAATAAACAAACAATCAGAAACTGAGAGAGCAAGTACAGAAAAAATGAAATTATATAATGGCTTTTATAAATAAGGGAACAGAATACAAAGTAATTAAAAATTTGTACAAATCACTGGTTATCCAACAGCTCATGCATGCAGTTTTGGGAACCGTATAGTAGAAAAGGCACTGAGCCCGCAAAGATTGTGGATTCCACAGTATAATGCCAACGATTGGAAACTGTAATTTTATGAGTGGGGACCTGAGACACCGAAACTTGTTGCACTGCCACAAGAAAGGATGAAAAGATTCAACATGGGTGTCATGGTGGCTCAGTGGTTAGCACTGCTGCCTCACAGTGCTAGGGACCTGGGTGCAATTCCACCCTCGGGCGACTGTGTGAAGTTTGCACATTCTCCCCATGTCTGTGTGGGTTTCCTCAAGGTGCTCCGGTTTCCTCCCACAGTCCAAAGATGTGCAGGTTAGGTGGATTGGCCATGCTAAATTGCCCATAGTGTCGGGGGATGTTTAAGTTAGGTGGGTTAGACATGGGAAATGCAGGGGTAGGGGGATAGGTCTGGGTGGAATGCTTTTCGGAGGGGCAGTGTGGCCTGTTTCCACACTGTAGGGATTCTTTGAAAAATTCTATGAATTTACATCAATCCTGCACTACAATAGTGTTCCACTGTCTGTAACATCCTGAGGTCATGAAAGACAAATTTAACATCATTTTGTTTTGCTGTACTGTTGTACAGATCGCCAAAATCATCCTGATCACCCTGTAACCTGTACCATTAATGATGCAGATTTAGTTCAAGAATTTTGTACAATCACTCAAGGCCAGGTCTGAGAGCCCACAATGTCAATCTTAGCAATCTGTGCTGCTTTAAAACAATGATGACATTCATAACTTACCCCTTCCAGGAGGGATAAAGTACTTCACTCTCTCAAAGCCATGCTTCTCCATCCAGCGCGCTCCTTGTGCGTCCAAGCGGTCGTACAGAGGAGAGGTCCTGAGCTGTCGGCCAGTCTGGAAATCCCAACGAGGAACTTTCAGTTCATAGATTAGAGCTACAATTAGAAAGGGAAACAAAAATGACGTCTTTCATCCAAGTGTTCCTGGCCACAGCTTCTTTCTATCTATGATTCAGGCCAGTCACAACGCATAGATCAGCAAAGTGGCTGAAAAAAAAGGTAAGATACCAAGATGTACAGTTTCTCACTGAAACTGATTGAAGCAGTGAACAGAGCAAAAAGATTACAAATTTTTGGCAATCTTCCAAAGAGAGAAAAAGCGGTTAAGCTCAGCAACAGTTTAAATAACACACACAATGCCAGAAAAGGCAATGCTTTCAAATTTAAAAAAAAAATCAAATTATCTCAAGTCAAATCAAACAGCATTGCACTGAATTATTATGGAAAGGAATTAGGCTGTTCTTTGTGTTTTTACTATCCTTAATTTCTCTCTTTCCTATTTCAGTGTCAAAAATTCATGTTTAACTATGAAGAAAGGGTGGCATTTTTGTCTGTTGTACGCAGCCAGACACTGTGTCAAGAGGGGCAGCTGAGAATTTCATTGTCATGTGGAGGGAAAGTAGAGATGACTGGCCCAGTTTGCTCCTGGTCTTTCCTCCTTGTGAGTAATGGGACTCTAGTTGAATTTATAAACCCATTGACATGCAAGAAAGTGCAACCTTGCTGTCTAAATTCTCATTTTTCTGGTCATTCTACAGCACTATCACCTGGCATCCAAATCAACAGAACCTGCAACAACAATGTCCCTAGTCCTAAAGGAATTTCAGTGGGCAGTACTGCCACATTCCTCACTCTGCCATTATCCTGTCTGGTATATTCATCATAGATCAAGGTCACTTCAACACACCGTCAGGTCCTGCTCCCAGTCATTGTTTCTTTACATATCAGTTTCCTGGAGACTTACGCATCACTTCCATGACACGATGTCGGAGGAATGTGCGGCTACTCTGGAGTGCCCCAAAGCGCTTAATATCCAATGGCCAGACATTAGTTGAAGGGTATCCATGCACCATCCATTCAGCCAAGTATCTACAGAAGGAAAGAAGACCAAATCTGAACACTAAATGCTTTCAGTTAGTGGTCAGAAAAACAAACCCACCTATATTTCAGAAGCTATTGAATCACAAGGAACAGAATCTAACACAGAATTATTTGAAGAAATTAAGATTTTTAGACTGTAAGGGTTAAATGTCACTTCCATCCCAAAAGCAGAAGGCAGGTTAAACTTTGTATGAAGTGAACATTATGCAGCTCAGAGTCTAGTGTCAGCTGGGATCCCTGTAAACAGGAGACAGTGTTAATGAAAACATTAAGAGTGGTTTGGGAGGAGATAGTGTTGGACAGACACTGATAGTTAAGACTGTACCGTGCAGGGCAAGATTCATTGGCTGGATGAAAGAGACCTTAACACATTAACCTGTAACATAAAGGGTCATCTGTTTATTTTTTGTGTATGAAGAGAGATTGGAATATGGATAAGAGGATGCTAACAGTATAAAACACTTCTGTGAACTTTAGAGTTTTACTGGAGGCTAATAATTTGACTTGCTCAAATAAAACAATCATAAAAACCTACACCTAGTCTCCAGCAGTTGATCATTTAAAAATCAATACAATACAATTAATAACTGGAGTCATACAGCATGGAAACAGACCCTTTTATGTCCAACTCATCAATGCTAACCATATTCCCAAACTAATCGAGCCCCCCCTTGTCTGTGTTTGACCCATATCTCTCCAAACTTTTCATATTCATGTATTTATCCAAATGTCTTTTAAATGTTGTAACTGTACTTGTGTCCACCACTTCCTCTGGTAGTTCATTCCACACACTGACCACTCTGTGTTTTAAAAAAAAAGTTGCCCCTCGTCATTTTTAAAACTTTCTCCTCTCACTTTAAAAATATGCCCTTGAGTTTTGAACTCCCCCACCCTAGGGAAAAGACCCTTGCTATTCACCTTATCTATCGCCCTCACGATTTTATAAACCTCTATATGGTCATCCCTAAACCTCCTAAGCTCCAGTGAAAAGAACCCCAGCCTAATTTTATAACTCAAACCCTCCATTCCCAGCAACATTCTGGTAAATATTTTCTGATCCCTCTCTAATTTAGTTATGTCCTGCCTACAGCAGAGCGACCAAAACTGCACACAGTACTCCAAAGAGGCCTCACCAATGTCCTGTACAACCTCAATAACTTGACTTCCCAACTCCTATAGTCAAAATGTCTGAGCAATGAAGGCAAGCATGTTATACACCTTCTTAACTACCCTATCTACCCACGATGCAAATTTCAAAGGATTAGCTACCTGACCCCCAAGGTCTCTCTGTTCTACAACAGTACCTGGGGCCCTACCATTAATTGTATAAGTTCTTCCCTCGCCTGTTTTGAGGAAGTGCAATACCTCACATTTATCAAAATTGAACTCCATCTGCCACTCTTCAGCCCATTGACCCAATTGATCAAAATCTCTTTGCAATCTTAGATAACCTTCCTCACTGACCACTATACCACCAACTTTAGGATTTTCTGCAAACTTTCCAATCATGCCTCCTATATTCTCATCCAAATCGTTTATTTAAGTGACAAACAAAAGCAGACACAGCACCGAATCCTGTGGAACACCACTGGTCACTGGCCTCCAATCTGAAAGACAACCCTCCACCACCACCCTGTCTCCTACTGTCAAGCCAATTTTGTATCCGATTGGCAAGCTCACCCTGAAAACCATGTGTTCTAATTTAGTAATTTGTCTATTATGCAGAACATTGTCAAAGGCTTTACTAAAGCCGTGTAAACAACATCTACTGCTCTCATTAATCTTTTTGGTTACTTCCTCAAAAAACTCAATGAAGTTTGTGAGACAACCTGCTAAGTATTTCCAATATTCTCTGTTTTATGTTTCAGGTTTCCTGTATTCTGCCTTTGAGTAAAGATGTGACATAAAAATGCTCATACACGTAAAAAATTTCACTTACAGGTCAATCCTTTTGAAGGAGATAGGAAAGGAAATGGCAACTTTCTTCCTCTACTACTCAATATTTATATCCAAGGAGCAGCACCTACCTACATTATCTCATCTGGAGTATGTAACATTGTCCTGACGACCATGATTTGGTCATAACGTCAAGAAAGAAAACTCAACTCTGTTCACACGATCAGTAATGATCGCATCCTCATATCTCGTCAGTGAACATCAACATGAACAAATCAAAAAACAGTGGTGGTCTGGGCTTGCATTATCATTTTTACAATAAATACCCATGAATACAAGATTCTTATTGCAATTGAACAACCTGAACAGAGAAAAAATAACTCTATCAAGCCAAGGCACACAGCATTCATGTAACTGACAGACTCTCTAAGCCCAACTGTACATACTCAGAGCAGAACACCTATACAGGAGTCAGGAGGAACTCCAGTAGCCTCTGCAATTCTGACATGTATACTGAGGGAATAAAAATAAAGGTTCCTCAAATAGAATTAGTTTGCTAAACTAATTCTACCTGAACATTTCACCTTTTACATAAGTGAAGGCATCTCAGGCCTCAAACTGAATAGTGGACAACAGGTTGGCCTGAGTGAATCTAACACAGTGCATCTCAGATCTTTATCATTTGCATCAACTTTGCACCAAATTCAAGATATCGATAAGCCTCTATGTTTTACATTATCTTGGTCAACCTTGGAATGAATGGTACAGTGGAACTCTTAGCAAAAGATATCTACTCTATAAGAACAAAAAGGTCTGTGAAACAAGAGACCAGCGTTGTGTTCTCCTCCTCTGTCCAGCTTCCTTCTAATTGCTGTCAGCTGCTTATGCTTTAACAAAACATTCTGCACAGTTTCTATCAGGGAAAGGTACACAATTCAGCAAGGACAAAAAACTTGAGACTTGGGCTCAACACAAAATGCAAACTCTGAGTAGCAATCATGATATTTTGAAATTAATTGATCCAAGAGTTTTATTGGGGGTGGGGGGGTGAGGAGGAGGAGGAAGGGGGAATACGCAAAGATTAAGTCATTTTTACCAACATCTCCACCACGTGCTTTATATAACTCTCTGACATAGACTTAAGAATGGTTTCAATATTTGCTTGTGAAGCAAATGATCAACTTATCAGAAGAAGCTTGCAGACGAGAGAAGGAAAAAATTTCTGAATTTGGCCCCTCCAAGTAAACTCGGTATTCCATCATATCTTCCTGTGAAATGCTACAACTTTTCGTCTTCACACAAAGTAAGTGTAGCCCTCCCAGTGTTGGCGAGCTACTCACTTGCCAGCGCCACCTGCAAAGGACGAGCCACTGGAGTTCATTCCCGCCAAAACAAAGTAGTTTTGCACAGCTGCTGACTCTCCCATGATGCATCGCATGTCAGCAGTGAAGGATTCTGGGCAGTTCACAAGCTGCAGGATCTCAGTTGACTCCAGGGAAGGCATTCGTCGCAGCAATGCACTCAGAAGTGGCTCTGACAACATAGGACAATCACAACATTAAATGGAATAATTAACTGGATTCATCCTTCAACATCATATCCCTGCAGTCGGAGAGTTGAGTGCTTCACAGTATTTGTATTCCTCCCAGTCCCATTTCCAAGCACACCCACCGTCCAAATCGGCTGGGTCTTTGTGATACAATTGCAATGGTACTCCTGAGCAGGAAGCCATTATCAAGCTTCCACCATGCAGTCACTGGATGGGGATGAGAAGCAGCACTCCTTGGCTGATCTTTCCTCTTCTTGCAACAAATGCTCTCAAACCAACTGCAGAACCCCTAACCCAAATCAGCCACCTCCAGCATGAATTGGGAATCAAACTTGCAATGATTTTCAGTACCTCATCAAGTGCTGATTTTACCACTGAAGCCTTCAGAGAAACTAAATCCTTGTTTATGTTACAGAGGGTGGACCTAACTATATGTACACTTTGGGTCAATCCTGCTACAGACCTTGACAAGCATTAATGACAGGTGAATCAATGAGAACCGCAAAAGTAAAAGACAGTTTGAATAACCTTAACTGCACAGAACAGCTTAGAAGGCTGAGTGTATTTACCATTGAGACGTACAGCTGCAGTGGTTTGATAGAATATATAAAAGGGCTAGATTATCTTCCCACTGCAGCGAGGTACTGAGGCTGTGCAAAATTAAGGCTTGGTTTAAATATTTGGTGTTCAGAGGACAGTGAACCCATGAAAAGCCTTTCTGGCTCATGTTGCAAACCCTCAAAGAATGCAGAGGCAAGCATGACATCTAATAAAAGGCAGGTGAAATATTACATTGAGTCCAGACTAGTTTTAGAGAACCAGAGGAATTGTCATTAAGCTTTTGTTGTTGCTTTGCCTTTATGCATTACATGGCTGCTGGTAAGTAGGAAGAGGATATCCAACCATAACATTACAGACTTTGAGTGTGGGGGGCAGGCTTGATGGGTCCAGCACTCTACCCATGATTCTCATCCCATATGCTCATAGCACTTATAACGTGAACACTGGGCAGGATAATAGGCCCAAACACAGACATGACTGCGAAATTAATATCACCAATTCTGCAGCAACATCATTATAACTCAATGCATGCCTTGAATAATGGATCCCTAAGGTAATGTTGACTCTGCCCAGCTAAGATAGTGTGGGCTAAGTTGTGGGGAAGGGGATTTGTTAATGTTTTGTCTATTTATAGAGAAGCAAGATGGTGGATCTGCAGCAGTGAATCCAAAATTCCATCTCTAAAATACCAAAAATACAAGATTCTACTACTTGCTAATGGTTGTCTCATATCTTTCAGCTCCCATTGTGTGAACTGAGATCAGATACCCTTATACAGATTTAACAACTGGTTAAAACACACACTGACGTGACCAGCTCCAGTACTGAACCAGCTACACCCAAGTTGCATGTTCCAACTTTCAACGCCTGCATTTGAACAATTGGCCTCCAAGCCCTGCAAGACCTACCCCACCCCATTCCCTACAATCACATACCATAATGATCCCAGTCCTCAAGCATGCTTTGGAACTCCAGCTGGTTTCTGCCCTCAGTGAAGATAGGTTTTGGGTTCTTTTCAAAGCCCCCAGAAAGTACGCCACCCTGCCAGTTGCGAACATAGATCCTACCGTCCAGATCCAGGATTACTGGGAAAGGAAGGAACATAGTTCATCAGAAAGGTCACAGCCCTGCGAAAGATGTGGGGAGGAGAAGATTAAGAGTTGTGCTCTTGGAGCATGGACAAAAAATATTTCACTGTGATATGCAGCCTACAGAAAATTATTCATTTAGGATAAATTCCTGCTATTAATGTTTGTAAGGCGATCTGTTCACGAGCAAGAGGTGAGTCAGCTGCTCAATATATGTAACCATACCATTCATGCAAGGGGTGGCCCCTCACAGGAGGACACCAATATTTTGGCTCATTTGCAATTGAAACCATCATTCTGCCTCCCTTTGCTATCCCTGGAAATATATTCACACAGGGTCAACCTTTCGTATCCTGTCCTCCTTTAACTGGAGGTCGTTCAAACCTCAATGTTAAAATTCTCATTCTTGGTTTCCCTCAAGCCCTACAATCCCCTGAGATACCTGCACACCTCTAACTCCAGCATCTTGAACATCCCCAATTTTAATCACTCCTTCATGCTGACATTCAGCTCCTCAGCCCTAAGCTCTGGAATACCCACCTGCAGCACTCCACCTTGCTTTCCTCCTGTGGGACACTGCTTTTTGACCTCTTTGATCAAGATTCAAGTCACCCAACCCAATATATCCTTTTGTAACTTAGTGTCATACTTCGATTTATAATGCCTATGTGTCATGCCTTTGATTGTTTTATTGCACAGAAGGCACAACATAAATATAAACTGTTGCTCTGGTCAGCATTAGCTGAGTTGCTTGAGTGCATCTCATCAGTGCCTCACAAGCTTATTGTTATGATTAATACATTATGTTCACATGCTTAAAGTTGGCTTCATAAACTTAAGGTCACAGTTTGAGTCCCAGCTATGCCAAGCGCTCCAGCAATGTGATCATGGTTAGCAGGCGTGTTTTGGCCTGGATGGCTAGGTACCTATTCTCAGGTACGAATGGCTACCTTACCCCTTAACATGTATATCACTGACAGGTGACCACTGGAAGCACAAAAGCAACTGCCTTATGATCTGGTCAAGCAACATAGTCTTATCTGCATATAAGAATTTCACTGGTGGCTATAAAGAAGGGTTTGCTGAGCTGGTCACAGAAAAGCAATAAACAGGAAACCTGTCAGCCTTCAATCCTGTTCGTGATGAGATATTTTCCCTCACTGATGCGGTGTTCCCCAGTTGGAGTCTCGTTATTTCAGTTAATATATCTGCTCCAACAGACCAAAAACAACAGACTCATCTTTTCCAAAAATGTCTTCAACTCGCTTCAGAAAGTACACATTGATTCATTCTTAAAACCTGCAGTAGTGAAATCAAACCATTGATTCCAGCCAGATATGCTGCTTCCTCACCTGGTGTGTCAGGGCGCAATCCCTGCTTCAGAGGTCGTGTCACCAGGTAAAAGTGTTCACACGGATGGAGTGGGACAGATACAGGCTCCTCACTCATTAAACCAAGTTCATAGGCCCACTGGCCAGAGATGAGCAGTTGATTAATGCGTGTAGGCGGAGAGAAAAAGAGAGAATGAAAGAACAGAGTTAGCTTCAAATACTAAACTCAAGACCAAAATATGTGTATTAATACTTCAGTTCTACAGGAGTTCAACTTGAAAGGTGTCGGCCAATTTTGTAGGTGTTAATTCCTTTAATCCTGGACTGTTGATGCCAAACAGTATGAAGCCAAGGTGGAAACACAAAGAATAAAACTACTCTAACATCAGGTGATTTTTATAACAATAAATGTTATATGGAAGTCATCAAATGCAGAGGATGCAACATGGATTTTAGTAAAGCCATTGACAAGATTCTGCATGGTAGAATAATTAGTAAAGTTAGCTCACATGGGATTTGGGGTAAGCTTGCCAATTGGATATGTAAGTGGCTTAACAGCAGGACAGAGAGTGATGATGGAGGGTTGCTTTTCAGACTGGAGGCCTATCACCAGTGGTGTTCCTCAGGGATTGGTTCCGAGGCCTCTTTTGTTTGTCATTTAGATAAATGATTAGGATGAGAATATAGAAGGCATGCTTACTAAGTTTGCAGATGACACCAAAATTGAAGACAGTGAAGAAAGTTTTCTAAGATTTCAAAGGGACCTTGATCAACTGGGTCAATGGGCTGAGGAATGGCAGATGGAGCTCAATCTGGATAAATGTAAGGTATTGCACTTTGGTACAACTAACAAGGGTGGAGGTTATATGATTAATGGTAGGGCCTTGGGTAGTGTTGTAGAACAGAATCTGGCATTCAGCTACATAGCTCTTTCAACTTTGCATCACATATAGGACGGTTAAAAAGGCGTTTGGTACACTTGCCTTCACTGCTCAGTACTTTTGTGCATAGGAGTTGTGAAGTCATGTTGAGGCTGTGCAGGACATTGGTGAGGCCCCTTCTGGAATACTGTGTCCAGTTCTGGTCACCCAGTTATAGGAAGGATATCATTAGGCTGGAGAGGGTTCAGAAGAGATTTACCAGAGAGTGTTGCTGGGTATGGAAGGTTTGCGATATAAAGGAAGGCTAAATCGGCTGGGACATTTTTCACTGGACCAGAGAAGATTGACAGACGACTTGATAGAAGTTTATAAAACAATGAGGGGTAAAGTTAATGGTAGTTGACTTTTCCTTTGGATGGTGGATTTCAAGACTAGGGCACATTTTTATGGTGAGAGGAGAGAGATTTAAAAAATACATGAGGGGCAATTTTTTTTTTTACTTAGAGGGTGGTTCACATGCGAAATGAACTTCCTGAGGCAGTGGTGGATGTGGGTACAATTCCAACATCTAAAAGTCATTAGGATAAGTACCTGAATAGGAAAGGTTTAGATAGACATGGACCAGGAGCAGGCAGGTGGGACTAGTTTAGTTTGGGCTGGTTGGACTGAAGGGTCTGTTTCCATGCTGTATGGGTTGAGGCACTGGGTGAAACAATCTGTTTAGAACTATGCAGTAGGAAGAATACCATGAAGCTGTCAGTCCTGTTCTGCAGTAGGTATCTCTTTAAGCAGGAGAATTGAATTAAACAGGACAGCTCTGTTGTACAGCCCACTGAAGTCACAATAGTTCTCAGGATCTCCTGAAACCCATCCTATACATACAAAATTGGGACAGTGGGCATGAGCACAGGAAAGCATTTTAGAGCTGCTAGAGTAACAACTGACTGCACGGACATCTCAAAACTTCACACTACAACGGAACAATATTACTGTCGAGTTCAAGATTAAATGTGTAGCCTAGAGGACCGTGGAACCTCACCCAATGGACATGCTGAAGATAGAGATCAATAAATTTCCAGATACAGGTAATTCTGCTATAACGCATGTTTCATTAACACAAATTGGCTGTAACGCAATTGATGAATAGTGGATGTTGTCTGAATAATGCGAATTTTTTGCTGTACAGGTATAACAATTTTCTAGCATGATTTCCCTATAATGTGATTTTCTATAGTTGCGTTCTTGTGTGAACTCGTGCAATCACATTATAGGAGAACCGCCTGTACTAATAACATCAAGGGATATGGGGTTAGTGCAGGAAATGGCATTGAGGCAGATCAGCCATTGTTTTAGAATGGAGGAGCAGGCTCAAAAGGAGAAATGGTCTACTCTTGTTTGTAGGAGTCTGCTAAAGATCATGGAACATCACTTCACAGGAAAATATGTTGCACTGTAATGCACTGGAAACTAAAAGGCAACATTCAGCTAACCTTCGCATCAAAAAGCAATGTTAGTATCTCAACAGTTTATGAAAAGACAACTCTCAATATTTTGTCTTAAAACCAGGTTGAGTTCCGCTTCACACTGCTCCTTTTTTGAATAGCAGGGAGGGAGTAGATATATAATGAATGTAGTAACTTCACAGTCAGTACAAATGACAGAATGCTGAGACAGTGTTATAATGATCCATCAACTAAATTGGTTACCTGCCCTGCACAGTTTACAAAGTATTCACATTCTATATGGCCTCTGTCAGTTTCAATTCCAGTCACATGACCTTTCTCGACCATCACGTGATTGACACTGGTCCCTTCATATATCTGCACACCTACAGTAAACAACATTTAATAGGGCTCAAAATTTAGCAAACTACATGGAGATAACAAATCTGTTCCGATAACTTACATTTCACCTTTAATATAGTAAAAATATTTGAAAATGCTTCACAGAAGTGTTATCAAACAAAATTTGACAGGAAGGCATAGAAGTAAATATTACAAAGTGACCAAAAGCTTGATTAAAGTGGTAGATTTGAAGGAGTGATTGGACAAAAAGATAGAAAAAAAAAATTAGACAGGAAATTCCAGGTTTCCTCTGGCTCAATTCCAGCATTTAATTAGACAGTGTCATTAACAAATGATTTGGATGAGAATATAGAAGGCAGAGTTATTAAGTTTGCAGACGACACCAAAATTGGTGGCATAGTAGGCAGTGAAGAAGGTTTTCTAAGGTTACAAAGGAATCTTGATCAAATGGGTCAATGGGCTGAAAGATGGCAAATGGAGTTCAATCTGGATGAATGCGAGGTACTGCATTTTAGTACAACAAACAAGAGTAGGGCTTATAGAATTAATGGTAGGACCTCGGGTAGTATTGTAGAACAGAAGAACCTAGGGGTGCAGGTACATAATTCTTTGAACTCATTTGCATCACATATAGGCAGGGTGGTTAAAAAGGCGTTTGGCACACTTGCCTTCATTGCTCAGTCCTTTGAGTACAGGAGTTGGGAAGTTATTGTTGAGGTTGTATAGGACATTGGTGCGGCCCCTTCTGGAATACGGTGTCCAGTTCTGGTTGCCCAGTTATAGGAAGGATATTATTAAGCTGGAGAGGGTTCAGAAGAGGTTTACCAGGGTGTTGCCAGTATAGGAGGTTTGAGTGATGAAGAAAGGCTTGCTAGGCTGAAACATTTTTACACGGGAGCGTAGGAGGATGAGAGGTGACCTTATAGAAGTTTATAAAATAATGAGGGGTACAGATAGAGTTATAGTAGTTGTCTTTTCCCTAGGATGGGGGAATTTCAAGACTAGGGGGCACATTTTTAAGGTGAGAGGAGAGAGATTTAGAAAAAGACATGAGGGGCAAGTTTTGTACACAGAGGATGGTTCATGTGTGGAATGAACTTCATGAGGAAGTGGTGGATGCAGGTACAATTACAACATTTAAAAGACATTTGGATAGATACATGAATAGGAAAGGTTTGGAGGGATATGTGCCAAAAGCATGCAGGTGGGACTAGTTTAGTTTGGGATTATGTTCAGCATGGACTGGTTAGACTGAAGAGTCATACAGTACGGAACAGACCGTATGACTCTAGAAGAAAACGGACCTTCAGGCCAGGACAGACCAATTCAGAAAGTGACCAAAATACTTCATCAAATAAATTGGTCTTAAGAATCATAAGAGGGGGTTTGGGAAGGAAACAAGTATAACAGCTACTTTCTTGAACCCAAAACAAGATTCTTAAACTTAGAACAAATTGTCTAGGTACAAAGAAAGAGATGGATAAGTTGGATTGGGTACATAGTCAAAAAAAGGTAAGGTTGTAAATAAACATTGAGGCATTTAAATAAATTAAAAAGTTAACAAAAATTTGTTCTATTAAAGAAAGGTTCAGTGACAAAGATCTTCTGTGGCTTACGAGGGAAGTTAAGGACAGTATTAAATTAAAAGAACATGGAGAAGAACAACTGTAAGCTGAGCAAAAATACAGCAAAAAAAAAGTAAAACAGTCAAGAATATAGAAAAGGGAAAAAAAAAGCTGAAGTAAATATTGGCTCCTAAAAAGGCAGAGGCAGGAAAAATTATCATGGGAAATGGCAAAGGTGCTGAAAATATGTTTTGAGTCTGTCTTTGCAGTAAAAGACACAGGTTGCATTCCAAAAATATAGGACAACTATGGAAATGATAAAGAGTGAGAAACTTAAAAGTAATTGTTATTAGCAGACAACAAGTTTTTAACAAAAGCTAAGGGACTAAAGCCAACAAATCCCCAGAATCTGGTGATGTAATTCTTAGTTTCTAAAGCAGGCAGCTGATAAAATAGCTGATGCATTGCTTACAATTTTCTCAAGTTCCCTAGATTCCAGAATGGTCCCAGTGATTTGGAAACTAGCAAACATAAGAGAACGACAGGTCAGTCAGCCTTGACAGAAGTTATTGGGAAAATGGTGAAACCTACTCGGAAGGAAATTTAACACTGCAATTCAAAAACCACAGTCTAATAAGAACTGAAGAGATAGAAGCAAGGATAGTTAATTTGGTCCTTTAAACCTGTGCTGCCATTTAATAGGATCATGGTTGATCTGCCGGTAGTCTTAATTTCACTGTTCTGTTCACCATTACATTTTGCAACCTTGCAAATCAATAATCTGTACAACTCAACCTTGAATACAATTATTTAGCCATCACTGCTTTCTGGAATAGCAATTCCAAAGATTAAAAAGCCTGAGAAGGAATTCCGCCTGATCTCCATGTTCAAGGAGACCCCTTATTGAGACTGTGTCCCCTAGTTGTAGAATCTGCATAAGAAGAAACATCCTTTCAGTATCTACACTCAAGTTCCCTCAGAATCTTGTATGTTTCAAGTTCTATTTTTCTAAACTCTAATGGGCAGCTTTCTCAACCCTCCCTCAGAAGACACCTCTTCATCCTAAAATCAACAAGTGAACTTTTTCTAACCTGCATCCAACGCAAATACATTCCCCATCAAATAAAACAAAAACTGTACACTGGTGTAATTTCAAAAAAGCCTTGGAAGATTGGTTAACTGCCAGGAAGCAGGAAAGAAATAGGTCATTTTCAATTTGCGGAGTGTTGCAAAAATCAGCACAGGGGCATCTGCTATTTAAAAATCTATACTTAGATTAAAAGAGAGTAATGTATCCAAGTTTGCTGACAATACAAAGCTAGATGGCAATGTAAACAGTGAGGGGACATAAGGAGTCTGCAAAGATAAACAGGTCAAGTGTGTGGAACAACATGTATGAGGTTATTCATGTTGGCAGTAATAAAAAAAAGCGAAACTTCTTTTCAAAGGCATGTAACTTCTAAATGTTGAAGATTAGAGAAACTTGGGTGTACCTTACATGGAACACAAATTTAGCATACAGCTACAGCAACAATTAGGCAGATAAACAGTGAAACAACTGGAGTATAAGAATAAGGAAGTACTCTACAATTTCCTTTGATAAGACCATGCCTGGTAATACTGTGCCATATGTAAGAAAATGCTCAATAAAATTGACAGTTCACTAGATTTGTTCCTGGAATATGAAATCTATCCTTTGCCTATTGACTCTCAAATTTTAGATGAGTGGTGATCTTGTTGAAGGATACAAGATTTTGCAGGGGCTGGACAGGGAAGACACAAAGGTTGATTGCACTAACTAGGGAACCTAGAAGACAGTGGCATATTCTCAGCGTTAAGAATTGATAATTTAGGACCGAGAGGAGGAGAAATTCTTTCCTCAAAGGTTCAGAATCTTTACAATGATTTACCCCAGAAACTTGTGAATGGTTCACCGTTGAGCATATTCAAGGTTGGGATGGATGACTTTTGATCTCGGGGAACTGTGGTGTTCAGGTAATAGGTGGTAACATTGAAGATTAATCGGCCAAAATTGCACTGAATGGTGGAGTTCATGAAGCTGTACTTTGTGCCTATTTCCTATCTAATTCCCTAACATGGAACCATCATGGTAACAAGCACGTCCACCAACAGTGGAACAAAAAACTCTGTTATCCATGCTGAACAAATCCTTCGTAACCACAGCATTACGTCACATGGCCAGTCTGTGCTGAGCTCACAAACTATAGAGACAAAGGTGGATTCAAGTGTTGTAAAAAGGATAGTGAGGAACTGCATGTTCAACCTTGCTCAGAGTATTCATCTGTAAGACCTTTCATAGGCACATAATGTAAACCAAGATCAGAGAGTTGTAAATACTCAAGGTGCTATTGTGCATCCATTTTTATTTTACAATTGCTCTCCATTTAAAATTTATTGGATTTAAATGCTATCCATGAGCCAGGGAACTCACCGTTGTTTACAGCAGCTATCACGAGTGCCTGGACAACATCTGGTGGTGAGATGACTGCATCTCCTGGGACATGCATTGCTCCAACCAGGTCATGGATATTTACCAGAGGGTGCAGCTGGGCTACCTGTTTCGGACTGATGATGTCACACGGGATTCCCATTACCCTAATAACACATGGAACAACACACTTAATATTTTGTGTGACATAACAGCGTTTGCTTTTTGAGACAGAGTGGATAAATGAACTTGGCATATACTTACGGATACCATCAATACAACCAAATTGCATGACAATTATAGGAGAGATAATCACAGACCACTGCATCTCATTAAGAAGGCTTCTGAATAATTTTCAGGGATGCAAAATTAATAGAAGATGGTCACCAGCACAACAGTCCTTCAACATTTAATTCTGAACTGCAACAGTTCAAGAATCAGCTCATCATCACCATTTCAAAGGTGATTTGGAATGGCCTACCCAAGCCAGCAACACCTACGTCTGATGAATGAATGTAAAAAAAAATTCACAAAGTCCTGAGTTGCCACTGTCTGTTCAAGTAAGGCCTGTGTTAGTTCCTTCCAGAACGTCAAAAAGATAACATGTACATGAACCATGTCGTTTAATGTGATTTCACAGTTGCTCCCTTTACCCACTGCATGTTGTTTGTTTCTGTATGTTGCTGTCCAGTAGAAGTTAGATATCTATTTCTGCTCCATTTCCATTTTTACTGGATTGTCCTGTGTTTAAGGCAATTGTCCATGTCCCAGGTTGATTACAGGTTGGAGGGTAATGTGGGGCCTGCTGTGTTCCTAAAGCTCCACACTGTGGTGACTCTCTGACTCTCTGACTCTCTGACTCTCTGACTCTCTGACTCT